TTAAAATTATTTAAAGGTGTTTGTTGGGTTTTTTTATACAAGACCATATTTACACGCAATTATTATTTGTAAACATAATTCTTTTCTTGAAATGCTAAGGTCTAGAGTGAAAAAGATGCAAAGAATCATCATTCTGATGATTCCATTCAGAATAGCACAAGTAATGAATTGACTTGGAGTTCCAGAAAAGATGTTGTTTATTGAACTTCCAGATTTTCTAGTTAGCTGCTACTGAAGTGACAAGGCCATCTTGGTAAGGCAGATGTTACTGTATATTCAGCTACCCAGATCATTACACTAAAATTACAAGCAATAATCTATTTTGAGCAAGTTTAAGCCAAAATGCTTTCCATTTGGGCACAAAATACAGTTGATATCTTATTTTCATAGCAGTGATGCCTTGTGACTTGAATTTTGATTTTTATTTTTAAAATTTTTTAAACAAAATTTTAAATTTAGACAGGTCTGGCTTGAGGGCACTGTAGTAACCACCTCCAGTCAGCTGCTGCAGATGAGTTTTTGGAAAGTTCAAGTTTTTTAAATGGGGAATTATGAAAAAGGCTGTTAAAAGAAACACAAAGACAAAACAATTAAAATGTTCACTTGAAACTTAGAAAAACTACATCATGACCTAGACTTTACCATTTCAAAGTGGTTTGTTTTTTTCTTTTTAGACTATGCATGCCAAATGTCTTGTCTTTTTCAATGATTTGTAATATACATTTTATGACTGGAAACTTTTTGTACAACACACTCAAATAAATGTTTTGCATTTTATTGGTTTCCTTCTGTCTGTCACCCAGCACACAGGTAATGTGAGCTATTTGAAATGATTCATCCAAGGAGGCCTCTAAGTGTGGAGAGAGGACACAAAGAGCTGCTGTCTGTTCTCCTAACATTGTTCAGCTGAATTGTGTCCCAGCAGGGATCCTGGGGTGTATCAAGGAACGCTTTCCTTAAAGCTGACGGAGTGCTGGTGGAACCTGCTGTCCTCTCTGAGCAGTACCAACAAAAGCAGGGGGAAGAATATCTGGAGCTGGAGCAGATAAACCTTCCCTTGCTTTCTCATCAGCACTGCAGGGAACGGATTCTTTGATTTAACCTGCTTGATGCTAAACAAGAATGAGAGCAGAAACCAATCGCTGGCAGGGATGGATTCTTAGGGATAGACAGAAGCATTGCCACGAGCTGATGCATTTGCCAACCTGGCTCTCAGCTTCCAGCCCACTTTTGAGTACAGACTTGAAAGTGGGCTGGAAGCTGAGCCAGGCTGGTAAATGCATTTAAAAATTGCATTTTAAATTCATTTAAAACTTGTACCTTAGGTGTCTGCCCCATCGTTAGCACTAGCTGATTATGTTTCTTGCAGGGTGCTAGGAATGCCTTCTGTTTGAAGTGGGCAGATCCAAAGAGAGGATGGTATGGTTTGCAGTACTCTCAGTGTGGGCTCGGGCTAGTGAAGATGAGCACAGTTTTGGCTTCAGCTCTGCTGTGGTACTCAATGCCCTCCTCTCATGCCATCTCCTCCCTGCACATCACATCTCGCCCATGAAAAAAGAGCTCCGTAGCGCGGTCCTCTCCCATTTGCTTCTACTTCGTCCCACAGCATTCTTACTTAATGGAGGGAAGTGTAATGAAGCTTACTTTAAGGGCATGGGCCTCTCACCCGAGTCACGGAGAGGAAAGCCTCGAAGAACAGAAGGATGAATTCTAGAGAGAAGCCAAAGGGGAGTTTCTCTCTGCAGGGATCTCGGCAGAGCTGGTGTTTCACCACGGGGTGCAGCTGGGCAGCGTTTGTGTCTCTGGTGATGCCGGTTTAAAGCCCCTTCCCGTTGCCCTCAGTTCGTGGGGCTGCGCTGAACCCTTGTACTCGAGCCCTGCTGTCTGACTCGGGCCCGGCTCGGCCCCGGGGAGTCCCCTTAGGAGCTCGCTCGGGGCCGCCTCCTCAGCGGCCGACGGTGACACCAGCGCTCGGGAACAAGGGCCGCGAGTGGCGGCGGGACGGGCCGGAGACGGCGCGGAGCGGAGCGGCTCCGCTGAGGCGGGCCGAGCGCGCAGTCCCGCCCGGCGCGGAGGCGGAGGAGGCGCGGGGCCCGTCGGGAACCGCAGTCCGGGCGCCGCCATTTCTCCCTCCGGCAGCGCAGGGGCCTGGACCGCGGTGACTCTGGGCATGGAGAGCGGCTTCGGCTCCGACTTCGGCTCCGGAGGAGGCGGCGGGGGGAAGCTGGACCCGGGGCTCATCATGGAGCAGGTGAAGGTGCAGATCGCCGTGGCCAACGCACAGGAGCTCTTGCAGGTCAGGAGGGGCGGCGGGGCCGGGCGGGGGCTTGCTCGGTCCCGGTGCGGGTCGCGGGAGACGGCCAGGCCGCTCCGCTCCCCTCGCAGCAGGGGCGGCGGCTGCAGCCGGAGCCCCCGGACCGCGCTGCCGCTCACGGGCTCTCTCCGCAGCGGATGACGGACAAGTGCTTTCGGAAGTGCATTGGGAAGCCCGGCGGCGCCCTGGACAACTCCGAGCAGGTGAGGACGGGCGGGAGAGCTGGGCACCCGCGGCCCGTTAGCTCGGGGCTGCCGCTGAGGCTCTGTGTCCCGCAGAAGTGCATCGCCATGTGCATGGACCGGTACATGGACTCCTGGAACACAGTTTCGCGAGCCTACAATTCTCGGCTGCAGCGGGAGAGAGCCAACATGTGACGCCTGCCGGCCTCCGGGCCGAGAGGGACCATGTGGGGAAAGGACAGCGGCCAGTCCAGGTGGTTAGGGGTGAATCCTGCTGCCTTCCCAGCCCCTGCCATGGCAGAGCAATAAAACCTCGCTGAACCTTTTGCATCCGTTGGCTTTTATTAGCACCAACACCAGGAGAGAGTGATTTTTTTTTTTTCCCATGAGCTGCTTGCGTTACTTCTTGTCTTTCCCAAGTGTCCAGATTGGCCCAAGGCATTATATCAATTTCTAAATCCCTGCTGAAAGGGCTGTGACAGGCAAGGAGCCTTCTGTGGAAAACAGGGGCCAAGCCAAGCCAGCAACACAGTACCCTTCCTTGGGACTCTAGCATGGACCCATCCTAAAGGTCCTTACTCAGTCCCTTTTCATTAGTGGAGAAACTGCCAGAAGATTGTCCACATGCCACTTTGGCTGTTTCGTCTCTTATATCTGTATAGTGTTTTGTGGGGCTGTCTTTGGGCTCCTAGGCTTTGACTCAGCTCAAGCACAGTGTTGGGGAGCAGGACAGCCTCGCAAATAGTTGTATGAGCACAGCTAGGGAAGCAGGGTTGGGAAGTACTTAGGTTCTTTTCTTTGTAGAATAAAGTGTGTTGTGTGGCTGTAATATTCTGTAGTTTCTGGTTTGGCTCTGGCACAGATGTTCCATCTTGGAGCCTATATCCTAAGCATAATTTTTTGAGGGAGGAGCATGTCTGCAACAGGGAATGTTGGTCTGCTTTGGGGCACAACTCTATTTTTGTGCTTCCACACTGCTCCTAAAAAGGTGGGTTCATGCTACGTGGTCAGCAGCGGATACAACAGCTGCAAGAGGAGAGTGTTGGAGATCAGCAGTGCCCATGTTGGGTTTTTTTAATCCTTTCTTTTGAAGCTCTTCTGTATTTTATGAAAGATTGTATGGTTTGGTAGACACCGAGACAGACTGGAAGAATGACATCTCCGCACCTCCTAGGACATTCACTGGGATGTGGTGGAACCTAAAGTGTTCTCACACCAGGTAAACTATGAGGAGATATTTGGGAATTTGCACTTACTGAAACTGGAGTTTCCTTTCTAGACTGAAAGAATGACTACTTGAAAATAAAGTGCTTTCAGACATGTTTGCTTAGGGGTCTTTTTACTTTTCTTTATGGTTGTATGAATTCTGTGGTACTGGCTGTCGGCAGTCCCATTTCATTCATGGGAGTGTCCCACAGGTGTTTTAGTCATGAATCTGAACCCATCTGGAGCTGAGCCATGCCTGGGATCCCGGTCTCCCACATAGATGGTGCTCTGTCTCAGAACGTTGTAGATCTTGCTGCCAGCTGGGTTGGGATGGAGGAAACCTCTTGTTATGCCCAGATGCAGAACTTAAAGCACCAAAAATGAGGAGGGGGTTTGGGGTACAAGCAGCTGTTCAGTTTTGGTAGCTGAATCAGTGGGGTCATGCGTAAGTCTGCTCTGCCCAAGACTCAGCACATGAGCTCTGCTGCAGTTCTTTGCTTGTGAACAAAGTTGTCTATGTGTCTTATCCCGGCTGGTAGGACTATCTCGGCACTTAAAATTTTTCCCACCTAGCTTAGCCAGACAGTGGTCTGTGTGGCCATGCCTTAATCTTTCCCAGTGGAATCACCAGTTACCTAATGCTAAAGGAGGTGCGGGGGGATGTGTGAAAAGCCCCTCCTTACACTCTGCTACAGGTCTGGGCCTGTGCAGTCTGAACTCCCAGGTGTTCTAGTCCTGCATTCTCTTAGGATCAATTGGTGGGCCAGGAGGTCATCACTGAGCTCTCTAGTACCACACAGTAATTGGAAACAGCATCACACCCTTCCTAAAAGCCACTGCACAGCACAGTGGCTCCATCAAGTCAGTGAGGTCTGAAACTTCTACAAGGCATAACTTTGGGCCAGGGCAAAGGTCACGAGTCTGTTGGCTTGGCCGTGGGATGACAGCTCATAGGCAGGGCTCAGCCAAACTCCATGAATCTTTGGCAGATGTTTCTGGCACCCATCCAACTAGGAAGGTCATGTCTTAATGTGCAGTATATTTGGCCAGGTCTTAAGATGGGACAGGTTTCATTTATTTGTAGAAAAGGTTTAGAATTTGTACCTTTCTATGCAAAGCAGTTATCAAATGCCTTGATAACAACCAGCAGGTCACACAACACGCATTTGCTCAATACCTGCAAGGCTGTCTTCACCGCTTTGCAGCATCAGAAAAATGTACAGTAGCTGAGAGGTTAGTGCATCCTCTGGCAGTTATTCCTCTCATTCATTGCCTTCCCTGAGTGGTGAAATGCAGTTTCAGAGCTTGAGGTTCTGCACAATCCAGCCTTGGACAGCTGTGACTTTGGTGTAGACACCAGGGAAGTATGGCCTGGCACAGCCATAGCCCCAGCTTGTGATTCCTGCTAGAAACCACTTCCCTGAAGGTTCTCTACATGCCAGGGGCCCACCTGCATCACCCTGCAGAGAGAGGAAAAAGATCCAGTATCAAGCCACGAGCAGTGCAGTTCCCCCAGCTGTGAAATGTTCTTTCTCTCTGGGGCATGGGCATTTGCTGTCCTGTTCCCCACTTCCCCAGGAACCCCATTCCAAGCTGGAGGACTGCTCAGTGATGTACCTGCATGAACAATCTGAAGCTGGGGTTCTGGAACATAGAAGAGTGTGTTTAGGTGTACAGTAGGGTCATGGAACAAGCTCCTTGTGGTCTTTTGCTTAGCATTACCTCTCTGTATTTCCCTGACCTGTCACAGGTTGGTGGGGCAAGCAGCATGAGGTGTATGCAGGATGGACATGGATAAAAGCAGCAGCCAGTTGATAGATGGACAGACATCTGAGCTAAGGGAGACAGGGCTGGGCCCTCCTGAGAGAATATAGTCTAGGGACTTGGCATAAGTTTGCTCTGTCCCAGTCACTGCATTTGCTGCTCTTGCACTCACTGAGCAGCTGTCGACGGTGCCCTGTGGGAAACCAGCACACAGCATCCTGCTGCTGATCTGGACAGGGTAGAACTTTTTGCAGGCCTGGTCTCCGATCATGTTCACTGCTGCTTTTTGCAGATGCTTTGACATGAGGCCTGAGGAGAGACAAGTATTGCTGTTAGCTGGGTGAAGAACGCATGAGAAACAGCAGCATGTGAAACGGGGTCTCTGCAGCCTCACTTGTTTGCCAGAGGGAGAGACCTGCTCTGGGAAAGTGAGTCACCTGGTTCAGCAGAGCAAACTGCAGAAGGTCCCTTGGGTGTATCGTTTGTCAGGCAGCTTGGCTGACCAGACACAAATGGTATTGGGGTGTCCTTGTACAGCAGGAGCACAGCTGGAGCAGCTGCTGTGGAGGTGGAGAGCACAGTGGCTGGCATGTGGAAAGCTTGGGAAAGCTCCAAGAGGGAAGAGGTGTGATAAAAGGGAGGAGCAGTGTGCATGGTAGCTGGGAGGAGATGGTGGTGGGACCAGGCCTCGCCCAGCTTGGTATCCTCTGCAGCATATGGCCTAGGATGGGAGTGCTTGGGGTAGTGGTGTGGGAACTTAGATGTTTGGGCTTGCAGTGTTGCAGTGTAGGTGGCCAAGCACTGAACTTGGCCATTATGGTTGGGGGGGGGCGTATTTAGCCAGTACCTCCTTCCTTTGTGGAGCCCCAGCCTGTGATGAAGCATCTGGCCCCTTCATGGAAGATGTGAGAACTGTCTGGGAGGCATATAGGTCTGATGGTGCTGGTGAACATGACAGGTGTGCTCAGTTCCAGTAGTGCCACATCATAGTCTAGGCTGTAGACGTTGTAAAAAGGGTGTTTGTAGATACGAAATATTTTCTCCATTTTGCCATCGATGCCACTCAGGAAAGGTGTTCCTAGATAGGCCACCCACATTTTGGGGTCACTGTAACTGCAGAAAGACAGCAAACCTGGCTGTTAGGAGCATAGCCTCACAAGGAGGGCCATCCCTCCACTTGTGGGGCTGGCCACACCTTGGGAGGTCAGGACCCCTGTCTCCAGAACCAGTGGGTGTACTTGGGCTTTGTTCCACCCTTTCCTTTTCACACTCACCTCTAGGGGCATTTCTCTGATAGGGGGTGTGTGCTTCCTGTGGGGTACAGCATGCCAGCCAGGTGCTGGACCGCAAGGGAGGGGAACAGCAGGTTGGCTGATGGGACTGAGGCAAGAGCCAGCTGACTTAACTAGCTTATCTCAGACTTACATGTCAAAGCAGTGAGCTGCAGAGAGCAGCCACCTGTCAGCAATAAGGACAGCCCCACACTTGTGCTCCTTCCGTCGAAGCCAGAGACTGACTTGCCAGGGCCATTCTCCTCGAGCCGCGCTGCTGCCACCCACGATCTTGCTAAAGGCCAGAGCCGTTGTTGAGCCACAATCTGGAACACAGGAGGAAGCACCATGGTTTTAAATAACCATAAATTAAAGGAATGACTTCCTGCCTTCCAGAACCTGTGCTGTGGGACAGCCTGCTGGGGGAGCACGTACAGGACAGTAGAATGTGATGAATTCAGTTCACCCCGCTGAGGCAAGCCTTGACAGGCAGGGTATATTTTGCAGACTTGTTATCACAGATCACACCTTCCATGGATGTGGTATGCGAGGAGCAGGTATTTGGATGGACTGGTTCAGCTATCAAACAGCAAGGAATGTGCAGCCCGAAGTGCAGTCCCAGGGATGCCAAGACACTTTCTGGGCTGCCATGTTGTGCAGGCCCGTCTTGCTACCTTGTGCTACCAGACTGACTGGCCAAAAGGCCTGTGTGCTGGGAAATGGGTTCTAATGTCGGTAGCAGAGTAGAAGAGGCTGCACTTTCTGGCAGTAAATTTGGACCCAGCTCATCCAGCTTTATCTTGTTTTAGGCTCTGGCAGAGCAAGTACGATCTGGACCCCAGTGGGCTAGGCCCCCAGTGTATGGGCCCAAGACAGCCAGTGTGAATATGGTGGGTACCACTGTGGAGGAGTCCAGGTCATGTACAGCACAGCTGGCAGCAGCCACGGGCTACAGAAGAGAACTCACCACAGTTGTGCTCGTCGAAGCCGTTGCTGCAGTCCACAACACCATCACATTCAGGATTTTCTTTTCCAATACACACCTTGCTGGAACACTTGAAAGTGAGGCTGGTACAAGGCACCACTGGAAGGCAATAACCCATGACCTGCTCAGTACTCTATATGCTGGAGGCCTCCTGCCAACATGTCAATGCCATCAGTTACCAGTTTTACCTGGGGTTTGGGTAGGCTTGGCAGTCTCAGTCGTTCTCAGAGCTGTGGAGGTTTCACTCATGGTTGTACTCCTCTTTGTCCCCAGGGTGGTTCTGCTGGCTGGACCTGCAGCCATTGTGCTGGGCTGGATAAAAATGGCTGTGGTAGAAGTTCTAGGAATGGCTGAACTGGAAGGGATGCTTGTGCCACCACTGGGCAACTGGGAGATGGTGTCCAGGATCCAGTCTGTGAGTTTGGTAATTCTGGAGTACACACCAGGTCTCATAGCCTGGGCACAACCAAATCCCCAGCTCACGATGCCAGCAAGGTAAAACACTCCTGGGGTCACCTCACAGGCCAAGGGCCCACCTGAATCTCCCTGCAGAAGAAGCAAGGCAATAGATGCTCAGTCCAATCAGGTTTGCCCCTCAGACACACCAGAAGAACTTAACTACCCCCAACTCTTCTTTCTCCAGCCTTGTGGGCCTGTCTGCTGTCATGCAGTGTGTATGCAGGGCATGAGTATGGAGCAGTTGAAGTTAGGGTCAGTGGCTCAACCTGGCTCCTGTCAGCACCTTTCCACAGCTGCCACTGACTCACTGCCACAGGAGGAGACCTGTGTCATCCAGATTTGTCTGGCCAGAGTGGTGGGATGTTGGTTTAAGTAATTCTCAGCTTGGTGGAGCTTTATTTACTTTTCTGAATTTCCAAAGTAGCGGGCTGGGGTTTTTTGTGCTCAAGTACATGTGAATTGCACAGATGGATTACAGCAGCTCAGTAAATATTTCACAAGGATCTGCTGAAGGCAAAGTTAGCCCAGCTTTCTAGAACAATCTACAGAGTAGAGAAATCCCGCACTTTTACCTGGCATGAGTCCACCATCCCCTCCATGAAGCCAGCACAGATCATTCGATCAGTGAGGGAGAAGTTGTAGAGGAAGTTGCAGGTGTTCTGTTCTATGATGCCCACAGATGCTTTCTGCAGGATCTCGGGCTTGGTGTCTGCATGAAAACCACAGAATTGGTGAGTGCAGCAGAGGGAAGGAGCTAGCTAATGGCTTTTAGACTGACTTAACACATATTTTGGGAAAATAGGTTCCAATCCCACATGGCAATTGAGTCCTATATAACCTATATAACCTGTTTTCTCTGCAGCCCTGAAGCTTGTGGCTCACCCCAGGGTGCAGTTTCGTGTCTGTGCTAAGGATTCTGCACAGTTTTTGTCCCATGCTCATGAGTTTGTGGGCTTGTCAGCTGGACTTCTTTGGTAGCACATGTGCCACTCTCAGGCCTTCTCCCTGTATCTTTGCTTATGCTCATTGCTTGGAACACCTCTGTGACTGAGAGTGGCTGCTGTGGCTGACATACCATCCTGCCAGAGCTGCAGCAGGCTCCGAGGCGAGCGCCTGACATGGTAGAGCTACTGAGGGCAGTCCAGCAGGTTTCTCCTGGTTCCCACCAAGCTGCTCTCTCCATTTTCTTCTTTGCTGGTGACTCCTAGGTAACTGTGGCTTAAGGTAGTGCTCCGTGTGCCTTTGTTTTTGCTAATTCTTGTGTTTGTCAGTTCCTGACTGTCCCTGTTACTGACCCCTGTCCTATACATTCCCAGGAATGTGGGTCACAGTGGCATGGGCTTTGCTGCTCAGGGTATCACTGCTCCAAGGCAGAACAGCAGGTATTGCATTACTGCTTACCATTCCCTTCCTGGAGGTCACCCCATCCAGAAATGAGGCACTTCTTGCCAACAGGAAACTTCTGCATGGCAACTGGGAGGCACACAGGCTGTATGTATTTGTTGAAGACAAGAGGTCTTGCCAGTTCAAGTACAGCCACATCAAAGTCCAGAATCATGGGGTTGAAGAGGGGATGTGGGATCACTCTTGTTACATTGACTTTCACTGCATTCTCATCTGTTCCATTTATTGATGTTGTTCCCACATGGGCTTCAATCTCTTCTGGCATTGTCCTGCAAATACATAAGCCTAAATGTGCATACTCACACACTTATCCCTGGCATGAATTCTGACATTAAAATTACAGACAGCTTCACCTGAACAGCATGCAGCAGAGCAGCCCTGCTAAGTCAGGCCCAAAGAACTGTTTCCAGCAGTGGTACCTGTTGGATATTATCTGAAGAGCAAATAAACATGTAATAATAATCCTCTCTTCACCTCCAGAAATTTGTGATTTCAGGAGTGTTCTGGCACACAGGTGGTGCCCCTGTATGCAGTAGGTCTTGCTGGATTTTTTGGTTTTATTTGGATTTTTCTAAAGTTGTGTTTATTCTTTTTTTTTTAACCCCAGGTGAATTTTTAATATTCAGCTTAATGACATTTCTTAGAAGAACTTTTGCTTCCTTTTGATTGTTTTCTACCTGCTCTTGGTGATTATTTGGTATCTTAAAAAGACAGTCAAAAGGCATTCCCTAAACACTTTGTACCCTTCATTATTGTACAGTCCCATCAAACACTGCCTTCCCATTAGTTGGTTTTTTCCCCAGGTCTAGTCTGATCTATTTTCTTGTGCTTCCTATGATGCTGCTCCACATCCTGCTCATCCCTGAGCCTTGTGAACACATTCTCACAGTGTTACTCTTGCCCTCCCTGTGATGTTGGAGAAGTTGGTGTGCTGTGCATTACCAGCAACATCCCGCTCATCTCCCTTGTTTTTTACTGCTCATTCCTATGCTCATTAACTGCCCCTGCCACAGGATCACTGCTGTCAGGGCAATATCCACATGTTTCTGGCCTCTTGCTTTGAACTGCAACAGCTGATGGAGACTCACCCTCATTCACAAACGGACAGCACTGCTGGTTTTGCTGTGTACCTCATTTCACACTTGCCTACCTTGCAGTTCACTTGTTCCATTATTGCCCAGCTGTTTAATGCATGAGGTTGTCTTAAAATCCTTCAGAGTTAGTAACCCACCTTTTCTGCTTCCAGGAATTTATTCCTGACAAGCATTATCTTCTTGCTACTCACTTCTTTAGGCTACTTATAAACCTACGCTTGGGTTCTTGCAATTTAACAAAACTGTGCAGGATTGAACTCACCATTTTCCCTTTATTAGCTGACCATGTGTCTCTATTTCAAATATTATAGACAATTTTTTAAGGTTAAGTTTATTAAAGAAACTCTCTTGTGACACTTTCTTCCACTCCTTTTAGATATGTTGTCCTTTCTCTCTGATTAGGCTGCTTTAACCTTCCTCTGCCTCATTCCAACCTCCCCACAAATTCCTTTTTGCTATGAATGTCTAGTTATAGCAAAAATTAACTTTCAACATGTGTTCTTGATTTCCATTTCTTGGCTCCACTGCCACACTGTGGGTTTGGCTGCTCTGTACTGGTGGGCAGGTGAGCTGGAGCAGGGACAGGGATGGGCTCTTACTCATTGAAGCAGTGAGCTGCTGACAGCAGCCAGCGGTCCCCAATGATGGTGGCTCCACAGAAATGTCTGGAGTCTTCCTTCAGGCTGACTTGCCAAGGGATCTCTCCTCTGGAAGCATCTGTTCCTCCCACAATCTTGCTGGGTTTAGAGAACCCGGGTCGCCCTCCACACTCTGAACAAAAATCAAAGCATGACTTGTGAGTATTCCTAGCAGAAAACAAGCAAGGAAAGACTTTGCTCTTTCTAACCTTAGCAGGGACAGGTTAGGCCTGAGGTGTGAGATATCTGCCCATGCCCTGCTGGCTGATAGTGGCAGTGGCCATGTACAGCTGGACTTTCACACAAACTGCTGTTCTGCATCTTGCTCTTGGCAAGTCGTGAATCCTGGGCCTTTCTTGAAGGCAGAGTAATCAGCAGCTCCATGCCTCTTAGCCTTGACATTCCAGATAAAAGTTTATTCTAGATTTAGAAAAATACCCTTCATTTGCATCTCCTTGCAAAGCTGCTGGGAGCACTCCTTGGAGTGGACAGGTCATCCTGCAGACACTTGCCCTCCTTCCCTTCAGGGAGCATTGTTGCTGTGAAGGGGCAGCCATCAGTTTTGAACTGCTGGGAGCTCCTTAGGTGGCAAGCAAAAGTAAGTGATCAACAGGTTAAATACTGTCAGATGCTGCTGTGCCTTAGTGACCTGTTCTGGGCCTGCCAGAGCAGACCAGTTACACAGCAAGATTACACAGTCACAAAAGCAAAGGAGTGCAAGGAACTGCAGAGGTACTGAGTGACTTTGCCAGGTTGCTCTGGACTGAGCTAGGGCAGCCATATAGTGTCATTTGTACCTTAGCACTTCAGCAAAGTTGTGTGGCTCACCCTAGAAAATGTCAGCTTAGGTTAGCGGAGGAATGAACCTGATGTTTGGACATGTACCTGCCAGTCTGCCTGCTGTGGGTGCTCATACCTTGTGGTCCTGCTGCAGTCACTGGCCTGCTGGCAGCTGGGGCTAGTGAGGTGGTTGGGGTTGCTCTGGTGGTGGTGTTGACCTCTTCAGCACTGACCATGTTACTGTTAGTCCTGAAGTGCACTGGAGGAACAGTATGGGCTATGGAGGTAGGGAAGGCAGAAATAGCATCCAAGATCCAGTCTCTGAGTTTGGTAACACGTGTGTAAACGCCAGGCCGCCTGGCTTCAGCACATCCAATACCCCAACTCACAATTCCCGCCAGAAAAAACCTGCCAGATGGTTCTTGGCAAACCAGAGGCCCACCAGAATCACCCTGCAAGAGAAAGCAGATGGTGAGCTCTCCCTAGGGATGCACTGAGCTTGCCCTGGCCACCCTCAGCATCCCTCTACCAGCTGGGGTCTCTCTGTCCCTGTATGTCCTAGCTCACTTCATATTTGCTCCAGCCTAGTGATGAGTGGAGTATCTGTGTGCTGGCCTTTGGGTGTTCCTCTGGGCACGCTGTCCTGCTATTACACAGAAGCCTTGGGCCCTTTATATTCCAGAAGAACAAAGGACACAATCTGTAAAATCTAGGATTAAGCATTTCTACTGCTTTAATAATTTGTAAAACCTCATAAAGGTTAATCCTAGCAGCCCATACACAACCAGATGATGGGTGTTCATTGCCTGATACAGAACCCAGGGAGACCACATTAATGTTTGCATCAGGTTTTCTTGATGTCAGAAGTGGTTCATTTCTTGGTTATTGTGGGGCCCTGTGACTATTATTGATGGACATATGGTGTCTGTGAAGCTGGTTATGCCTTCTGGGGATGAGATTGCTCTAGATCAGTAATTAATAACCTGATGGGTCATGTTCATCACACAACCTTGAATCTTCAATTCTTGGCCCCTTCTCTGGTGTTTGTGCTGTATTTGGTGCAGAAATACGAAGCACTACCACCAAAAAAGTGCATATTTGTTTAGCTGGTTTCTGTTGGTTTGAATGTTCCTGCCAAACCACAGAGACAGACCTGGAAATCACAGTCCTCCTCCCGCATCACAGTTCTCCTCTCTCCACACTATCAAAGGCAGGACTATCTCCAGGGGACCACTTGCAGTTCCAAGATGAATAAAGGCTAACTAAAAAACCACTCTGTTGTTCACCAAAAACCATTGTGTATGTTTTAATTTCCACTGCTGCCCTTTGACCATCTGGATTTTTATCTGAAGACCTGTGTGGAATATCGGTAGGGCCAGCCCTGATGTCAGCTCAGGAAGACGAGAAAAGTAGTTACTTATCTGAAAGAGCCCCCTAAACAATAGTGCCCTGCTCTAAGCAGTAGAGAACATATCCTCATTTGTGTCTTCTGCAGTCACTGATCTGTGCTTGGGTCCAAGGCAGAGCCTCAAACCTCAATGGGAAACTGTGACTATAGTGTCAGTTCTGCTTCTTGAAGTGTCACTTGGTACATACTGGGAGGGAAAAGCCTTATGTGGGCAGGTGTGCCATCTTCTCTGGCCAAAGCTTACCTGGCAGGAGTCAACCTTCCCCTCCAGGTAGCCAGCACACATCATCCTGTCTGTGAGGACATGGCTGTAGAGACTGGAACACAGGTTCTGATCTAGGAGCTCCACTGTTGCCTTCTGCAGGAACTCAGGTTTCACCACTGAATGAGAAAGACACAATTGTGAGCTCAGTGCAGGAAGCCCCGCACAGGATCAGCAGCTCAGGGTACAGCCCACCTCAGTCGGCCAAGCAAGGTCCAAGTTCCCTTCCCCAATGCCTGCTGCTGCACTCACACCCCACCATGTCTTCTCTGCTGCCTGCCATGCTTTGCTTACAGAAATCCTCCTTGAGGTAGCCCCAGCCAGAAATAAGGCACTTCTTGCTGGTGGGGAAGTGATGGCCAGCATCTGGCAGGCACACGGGCTGGATGTACTTAGTGAAGGTCACAGGTCTCTTCAGCTCCAGCACGGCCACGTCATAGTCAGCTGTGTCAGCGTTGTAAGAGGGGTGTGGGATGATCTGGGAAATGTCCATTTTCACTGCACTGCCATCAGAGCCTCTGAGGGAGGTGGTCCCTATGTAAGCTGCCCACATGGCTGGGTCCTGAAACCTAGAGGAGAGACAGTGGGAGCCATGTGAACCTGCAGCCACAACATTGTCCTGCAAACCCAAGCTGCCTACTGCCCATCCTGCCATCCACTCCAGAAGTGATGGAAACTCCTCATTCTCCCTGTGGTGGGGCAGAGAGGTGCAGTGGGATCTTGAGCAGATACAGCAGCTTTTGGAACAGGGATGGAGGGTGGAAAGCGGTGTGACTGAAACTTACTCAGTAAAGCAGTGAGCAGCAGACACCAGCCACTTCTCTGTGAGGATTGCAGCACCACAGAAGTGCTCATTGTTCTCTCGAAGGCTGACTTGCCATGGGAACTCCCCTCTGGATGCCTCTGAGCCTCCAACTATCCTGCTGGCAGTCTGCATGGCAGGGCGACTCCCACAGTCTGAAAGGGAGGAGAAAGTCAGTGCATCAGGATCCTGCTACTGCACCCCAGCAACACACTCTTGGGGGCAAGTGGGAAAAGCTGCTTCAGCTTTGTGTGTGCTGTTGGCATATGCTCAAGCAGCAGGGTGGTACTTGGGATGGCACAGAGCAGCCTTTAAAGCCTTTAACCTGCAGGCTTGGGAGGAGCACCGCAAAGCACAGGGCCATCACAGCATCCTCCCTGAAACTCTTCTGGAGCAAGAAACTGCAGAGCAGCATCCTGACTAGTTTGATGAGCTCAGCTACTGCCTTGTGATAAGCTTCCAGCAGCCCATGGACATGTGGCTCTTGTCCATTGTGCCAGCCTACCAGCAAGGTGGACTTTGTCACAACCCATCACAGTGGATGGGACCAAGGTGTTTCCAAGGCACAGTGTCCCTCATCTCGATGCAGCCATTTACCATTGGCTTGAAAAGTCATGTCATATCTTTGGCTGTCTTCAGTGCCTGAGAGCCACTGGTGTCCCAGCTGTTGAGGTCTATCAACAGTAGGTTGTGGCTGGCCTCTGTGTCCAGGAGACCTGCTGTGGGAGATTCAGCACAGCCCCTTCCATCAGAGGCATCAGCACAGCCTGTTTGGCTGTCACATTCAGGGCTTCCTTTTCACATATTGGATGTTGGAGCAAGTGACAGCCTGTGTCCCAAGGGCAGCTCCCTGGGGACAGCAAGGCTTGAGTCACTCATGTCTTCTGCAGTCCACACAGCAACTCTCCCCTGGCTTGCCCAGGGGCAACCACCACTGTATCCTTGTCCTTCTGCTCCCTGGCTGCCCCAGAGTCCCTGCAGGATGGTGCTGGGAGCAGAGCTGCAGCTTCTTTTGAGCTTGCCCTGGGCCACCAGGCTATGAACAAGATGGGGCCCAAGCCTGTGTCTGTATCCAGGCTGCTGATGAGGAAGAGGAGGAGGAGGCTGCAGAGAGCAGGTGATTCTTCCTGCTGCCTGGCTCTTACCTGATTTCAGTCCAGGTCTGTGGGAAGAAACCTTGTTGGGACCTGGGACAAAGAGGGAGGAATCAGGATCAGCAAGGGCAGGGCAGCCCAACCTCAGGTCCTGGAGATGTGTTCCTGGGCTGGGGCTGCCACGGCCTTTGCTGCATCTTGCTTTCCTGCCTGGTGATCTCTTTGCCCACCCGTGGCCACTGTGAGGCAGGGCCCAGGTCCCTGCTGGGGACTGCTCTGCCACAGGGCAGGGGATGTGCAGCCCCCTTCTCCCTTGCAGGCTTTGGGGTGACTCCATGTACAGAGAGAAATTCCCAAAAGCTGCCTCTCAGGAGCAGATGGGGCTGAAGCTATGCAAGGCTGTTTGCCTAAAGCCAAGGGGACTCTCAGCACCTTCCATGTGGGCAGCACAAGGTTCCCAAAGATCCAGGGATCCTGCCCATTCCAGCAGAGGGTGCAGAGGGACCTGCAGAGGAGCTCACACCTTCATGTCTCCCAAGCTCATGGGTTATTTTTAATTGGCTGGACCTGGAGTTCTATGGTCACATGCAGCTGCACTGTCACAGAAGGAAAGGAGAATTTCTTATCAGGTGGTTTCAGAGAGTAATTCAAGTATGAGAAATAGCAGCCTGAGCTGTAGTTATTGCTACAGCTCTGAGGTCTGCCTAAGGGCTGCTGTGCACAGGTAGGTACAGACAACCCAGCCATTAACTTCTGGAGCTTAATCCCCTGTCCCGCAGACTGACTTCAGGTGCTGCAAGAAAAGCCAAAGCAGTTGCAATTTATGCTTTATGTTCTGTCATTGCTGTGGGCCTCTCAACCTGCTCTTGCAGTGTAGAGCAGCTGGACAGCATTAGTGTTGGAGGGGTATCTGGGAACCCACAAATGTCTCTTAAGCTGACAAGACCTAGGCTGGTTTCTGCTGCTGTCTGGTGAAGCTGGAGCAGCTGGGAGCCAGGCAGACAATTTTATTGGTTTGCTGGGTACCTGCCAGCACCCCAATTTCTAACACTGCTGCTGGGCACAAAGCCTTGACTGGACATGCAGAGCTAAAGCCCTGCAGCAGTTTGGCTGACTAATGGTGGCTTGGCTCTGTGCCCTTGGGTGCCAGCAGCCCCAGCACAGGGCACCCTGCTCTGCCGGCCCAGCAGTGGCACGAGGGCCATACCTGTGAGAGAAGCTGAGGAGATGGTCCCATAGGCAGCCAGGGAAAAACCCTGCCTTTGCAGGGCAGCTGCCAGCCCATGCCTGAAAGCCTCCTCCTCCAAGGTGGAGCTCAGGGGCTGGGAATCCTGGGGGGTGAAGAGGAGGCGGAAATGGACGATCACACTGGAGTTTCCATTCCTATTGGGAGACAGAGAATTAAGGGGGACCTTGGCTTCATGATCAGTCAGGTTCCTATGCTAGCTGTCTACAGGGAACTCAAAGGAAACAAATCTTAATATTTTGATTCTTAATAATTTAAAGTTTCTCTGGAGATGTGCTCTGGGTTGAAGTGGTCATTTGATTTTTTTTTCCCCTTTGGCCCAAAGCTGTGGTTGAAAAAATTGTTTTCCTCTGCCTTTCTGACTGCATTTTGAAACGAACAAATCCAGAACATTGTTGCAATCCCAGATGAAAATCCAGCCTTGACCAAAAACCAGTTTTTCTTTGTACGAGCTTTGAACAAGAGCACAGGTGAGTTCACCTTCTTGAGGTGAGGCTTGTCAGAATTCTCTGAAACATGAGCTGCAGGGTCTGCAGAGATAGCTGCCTACTCACCTGTAGCCCAGGATGGTGCAACCAGTGCAACTCCAGTTCAGCTGGGAGTCCTGGAGACTGGACAGAAACTGCAAAGCAAAGAGTGATGGTCACACACTTACTGGACCCCAAGGAGGTAGGAATAGATGATGCCTGGGATTTTGATGGAATGTGGAGCTGTAGATGCATGGTCTTTTGTCTCTGTAAGCAGAAGCACCCATGTCTAGCTCATATGTAAACTTTTGCCTACCCTGGCTTTTAGGGCATGAGGTAGTACATCTTTTTTTTTACGCAAGGAATAGGCCTGAACACACATTTCCCACTCCACGAATGTCTCTCAGAGCCCTGACAGGGCCTCTCAAAGTGCAGCTCAGCCCCACAGTGCACCCTGCCGATGTTTAAGAAGTCCTAGTTTTCCTCCTTGGCATGGAGATTCTGCTGGTGCTACCACTGCAGTATTTCACAAGTGTTTTTCCAGAAGGCCCAGATCAACTCACCAGCCTCTCAAGAGCAGGTGTCAGCACCCTGTAGTAGTCCGAGTTCTCTGTCTGTAAGCTGCTGTTGAATGTGATTCCTTGCAGCTCCACTGTGTGCTCAAAGCTGGTCTCTCCTGAGGAATGGCAGGCTGCCAGAAAGGGAAGGTGTCTGTCAGCTTTCCTCACAGCTTTGCAACATGAATATCATAAAGTCCTTCAAACCCCCTGTTTTTAGCAGCTTGACTGTCCCTGAGCATCCCAGCTGCCTTGGGGTGCCCCATAACCAGACTGGGGTCCCCTGCACATGTGCAGTAATAGCATTTTGTACTGAACTTGTTGGAACTTGAAAACCATGGGTTTTTGTCAAGCCTGAGACAGAAATACATGAACAGACGGGTACAGTCTGGCAACCTGAGATTGGCCCTTTCCTTGCAGGAACAGTCTCGGGAAGGTTCTGCTGGGTACTGAAGCCACTTCAGAAACTGTGACTGTACAGTGGCACATGTCAGTCATGTCATGCTGGGGTCCTCACTGGGGTGCTGGCCTGAGGTGGCCATGGGACAGCAGAAGCAACAGGAGAGATGTGGAAGAGGGAGGGAGATGGTGGCCATGCTCTGGAGTGGGACAGTAAAACAGGCAGTGCTCAGTGGCTGCAAGTGGTCATGATGGGAAATGGCAGAGGCAGCAAGGTACAGTGACAAGAAATTTGAAAGACACAGAGAGAGATTACAGGACAGAATCATAGAATCATGGAATTGTTTAGGTTGGAAGGGACCTCTGAGATCACTGAGTCCAATCATTTCACCAGCACTGCCAAGGCCACCATTAACTCATGTCCCCTAATGCCATATCTACATGTTTCTTAAGTTGCTTAAATTGCAGGGATGGGGATTCCACCACTGCTCTGGGCAACCTGTGCCGGGTCTGGACAGCCTATGTACTGAACAAATTTTCCCAGTATCCAATCTTAAACTCCCCTGGGCTACCTTGAGGCCTTTTCTTCTTTCCTGTCCTTGTTCCCTGGGAGCAGACCCCAAACACCCCCTGGCTGCCCCCTCCTGTCAGGGAGCTGTGCAGAGCCAGAAGGTTCCTCCGAGCCTCCTTTTCTGCAGGCTGAGCCCCCCAAGCTCCCTCAGTTGCTTCTGGTGCTTCAGCCCCTTCCCCAACTCTGCTCTCTTCTCTGGACACGCTCCAGCCCCTCAATGTCTTTCTTGTTATGAGATGTTCTAAAACTGAACCCTGGATTTGGGGCCTCACCAGTGCCCAGCACAGAGCGACAGTCACTGCCCCGATCCTGATGGCCACACTATTCCTTCAGCAGATCAACATCCCACCCAGCTTGAGTTGTCTGTGAACTGACTGAGGGTGCCCTCAATCCCCACTAATAAAGATATTTAACAGGGCTGGCTTCAGAGTGGCCCTGAGGAACACCACTGGTCACCAGTGTCCAGCTGGATGTGACTCCCTTCACTACCACTCTCTGGGCCTGGTCATCCTGCTAGTTTTTATCCGTTAAAGAGCACACCCATCCAAGCCATAAGCAGCCAGTTCCTCCAAGAAAATGTTTATGGAAAATGGTGTCAAAGGCTTTACTGAAGTTGAGGTAGACCAGATTCAGACCCTTTCCCTCATCCACTAGGCAGGTCATCTTGTCATAGAAGGATGTCAGATTGGTCAAGCAGAAAAGGAATAGAGCATATGTATCATGAGATGCTGAAGATAAAGTGCTCCAAAGTCACATATTGAGAACATGAGCTGACTACAGCCCTTGTAGTTTTTGTGCATTGTGCAGAAAGGTGTCTGCATTTTGTCCTCAGTAGGAGGATTTTGAGGGTTTTTGCTATAAGCAGTGCAGAGCATTGCTCTTTTGGAGCTGATAAACTGAAAGAATGCACCTGGCTGCACACTCACCCAGCAGGATCCCCAGGCAGAGGGCTGTTGTGCTGCCAGCCACGGCAGCAGCAGCGGTTACCTTCCAGCAGCAGGCCCCCAGCCTCCTCCTCTGGGCACCTGGCTTTAGCTGGTCCATGCTTTCTGAGCAGCTCTACAGATGGGCTCTGTGATTAAAAAGAAGAGGAGGAAAATGACAAGACTGGAATGAAATCTGTCATGCCAGCTGTGGTTACCCCAGGAGCATCATTGTCTGCTCCTGCTGGACCATCCCGACCTGGCTATGGAAGACTTGGCATTAGGCTACTTATACCCCCAAGGTGCATGTTATATGGATTAAAATTCTCTAAGTAATAAACCTCACCCTGGAGTCGTTCATGAGGCAGATTGCAGGGTGAGGTTTCATATAGCCCAATGCTATTCCACATTTTTTGCAGGAATTCTGGAGGAATTATAAAATCACAGTGGGTGATTTTATTTCCCCCCACTTTACAGCATTTAGCTGAGAGCTCCCAATGCCTAGTAATGCCAGAGCAATTAATATGTCCTTTGCTTACAGCTTTGCTGCTACCCTGATGAGCAGATTCTCCTTCCCTGTGGCCAGCATTAGTACTGGTGCTTCCAGTATTTTGCCCCAAGTGGTCCTGTACCAGAAGCAAAACCCCTTCATGTCACCTTTTCTGCCTCCACATTTTCCTTTGCTTGACTGGTTTCAGTATGTCAATGTTTTTCATGCACTGAAGATATGTTGCTACAAGTGCGAATTCAAAATGCCAAAAATAGAAAGAATCTCTCTCTTGGGTTTTTTTTTTTTTTTTTGTTTTTGTTTTTGTTTTTTTTTTTGTTTCCTTTGTAGCTTTGCTAGTACAAGCCAGACTATATTCGGCCTTTATTTGCACATCATCAACAACTGGGTGTTACTAGGAATGAAACCAGCCTGTAATACACATAGTTATTACATCATTCAGACAGGTTAATATCTACAACAAGGAGACAAGGAGGGACACCGATTTCCTGTGGTCCTACAATGTATTAAATTACTGTATTAATATTTCTCCCTCATAGGAATGAAGAAGACACACAATGCTGCTGTTCAAACTGGGAGGCTGAAGTTGTCTCAGACAATTTGTGTGGTCAGAGTGGAAATCCACAGAAGTCCACTCCTGTTGGCCAAGGGTCCAGAGCTCCTCAGCTGCAGAGTTTTTGTTGGGAAACTCAGATTTACAGGAGACACCAGAAAAGCCTTGGCAAGGCACAGTCACCTCTCACATTTACTCTGCCTTGATATCGACAGCGTCAAGAGTACCAAACCCACAGAGCTCTTCCCTCCTCGGTTCCCGAGCCTGCCCTGCTGAGGGACATCCCAGCGGTCACTGCCGACCCTCCGTGCTGGGAGAGCTGGGGCTGCCACAGCAGCGATTCCCCAGCACTCTAAATCAGACTGTGACTTCAGAGAAGCTGCAGAGGAACAGCCTTTTCTCATGTAAATGCATCCAGCAATGAAAGGAAGAGGGGAGGAAAGGGACACGGGGAGAAGCAGCTCCCTGTTTCAGAAGAGCTTTTCAGTGTTTTCCAAGAGGCGTCAGCAGCTCTTTAAAGAAAAGCTTCTAGATAAGAGATTTTAGAAGGTCACTCCTTTGTGAGGCAGCAGAGAGAAAGGGGAGAGGAAGGGAGAGTCTGTCCAAGATGCCTCTTTTTTTCTAGCAGACATCCAAATATTCTTTTTCAGCTGTAACTGAGCCTGGCACAGATGGGCACTGTGGCTAACAATATCTCTGTTTGACAATTCAGCTCTGGCTAAGGGGAGACAAGTAGGGAACCTTTTTTCCAGGGTCCTTGTGGCCTGAATACATACAGATGAGGAATCTCTCCTTCCCTCTTTCGGCAGGTTTTGGAGTCACTGTCCCTCTTGCAGTGTGCTGAATGTGGGCACTTAGAAATCTGGTTCAGGTGTGCTGACCAGTGCAACAGTGGACTTCAATGGGCCTCAAAGGTAGGACAAATGCATCTGAGGAAAAAAAATATTCAAAAATAAAGGTCGCAGACATTGCAGACAAAACTGGTTCTGGCTTTCTTTTTTTTTTTTTTTTTTTTTTTTTTTTTTTTTTTTTTTTTTTTTTTTTTTTTTTTTTTTGACAATACAATCTTAGTTGCATGTAAAAGTCATACTACAAAAAAAGGTACTTAGAACCCTAGAAAAATGTTTGTATTTGTGATTGCAGAGGAAACTTTCTACTTCCCAAAACAATCAAAACTTGTCTTGGCTCTCCCTTTTAGCATAAGGAAAGTTTATTTTCTTTTGGTGTCAATGGTGTCAGTTAAAAAAGAAGTAAAAGGACATGTAAATGGAAAGCCCATTTTGCAATAGCAAAGTAGAGATTACAATTTTATTTTTTTTTCTGAAAGATAGCAAGGATCATCTATAAATGCATTGTGGCAATCTGTGCCAAGAAGCTACACGCAGTGAAAAATATTGTGACATAAAATCAGAGGAGTGAAAAGTAGATTTTGTTAGTGGGGCAGAAATTGGGAGAGTATTAACAGTCATGAGTTTCCAATAGGAACACTGAGAAGTAAAAGCACATTTATGGCTTTTTTGTCAGCTTATAAACTGTGAGTGGTTATAAAGGTGTGGGGAATCTGACCTAAGAGACTCCCCGCAGCAGTGGGGTGTCTTTTCACTGTTACATTTTAGCAGAGAAGGCACGTCTGATGTGCAGCACAGGGTCAGCAAGAGCTGTCCTGCAGACTGTCACCATCTCTGGCTGTCCCTGAGGGTCTGCCACAGGGCTGGGAGCTGGCCACCACCCCTGCTCTGCTGCTGCTTGGCAGCCCAGGGTTTGTTTTTTCCACAGAAGCCTGAATTTTTCTCTAGGGCAGCTTTGAGTCATTCCATAGGATTTCCTTGGGAGATGGCTTTTGTTTCTCAGCTGGTCCAAGTAGGAAAATTGTAAAATATAAAGTGACATGGTAAAAATATTGCTTTACCCAATTAGCTAAAAAGTCACTAACACCCACTCTTCTTGTTAAAGAAGAAAAATAGCATGTGAGTGCGTGTGTGAGTGTGAGTGTGAGTGTGTGAGTGTATGTGACCATGTGTGTGAGTGAGTGTGTGTGAGTGTGTGTGTGAGAGACTCTGTAACTCTGTGTGTGAGTGTGAGTGTATGTGACTATGTGTGTGTGTGTGTGAGTGTGTGTGACTGTGTGAGTGTGTGTGTAAGTGTAAGTGACTGTGTGTGTGACTCTGTGTGTGTGACTGCGTGTGTGACTGTGTGAGTGTGTGTGTATGTGTGTGAGTGCGTGTGAGTGTGTGACTCTGTGTGTGTGAGTGTATGTGACTGTGTGACTCTGTGTGTGTGTGTGACTGTGTGTGACTGCGTGAGTGTGTGTGTGTGTGTGTGACTGTGTGTGTGTGTGTGTGTGTGTGTGTGTGTGTGTGTGTGTGTGTGTGTGTGTGTGTGACTGTGTGTGTGTGTGTGTGAGTGTGTGTGACTGTGTATGTGAGTGTGCATGTGTGTGTTTCTGTGTGTTTCTGTGTGTGTGTGACTGTGTGTGTGTGTGTGTGTGTGACTGTGTGTGTGTGTGAGTGTGACTGTGTGTGTGTGACTGTGTGTGTGTGTGACTGTGTGTGTGTCAGTGTGTGTACCCTCACGTGTCTGCATGTGTGATCTCATGTGTGTGTGTGCAGGCACAGGAGTGTGTGAGAACACGCATGTGGATGTTGTGGGAAAATCCCCTGCAGGAGCAGCAGCGGGACGAGGCAGGGCCCAGGAGAGGCACCCAGGCTGTTTGCCCGTGGGCTGGGCACAGCCCCAGCCTCACTGGGGCAGGTGTCTGTCCAGCTCAGGTGATCCCACACACCTGCAGGGCTGGCCCAGTCTCCAGCACAAATTGTGCTGGTTTCTGTTTCCAGGTAGAAACTGTCTTCTTGCAAAATGCCACAGCTCCTGAGTCTGAAGCACAGTGGTGACCTCCCAGTATTGTGCTGGTGGCTGCCCAGCACAAGGGCTGGTTTTCTTCATTCACCTCCACATAGCCTGGCCTTCTTTCTTCCACTGCTTGCTACTTCCTTCACCTCACTGTGTCTTTGCATTCATGCTTTCACCTCCTGAGGCCTTTTCTTCTGCCTTCCTAGCCTTCTGCAGTCTCTCTCCTGTCAGAACAGGAGTGTTTACACTCCTGTCTCGCAGTGCACTGCCCCAGGCTTCCTCCTGCTCTTCTCCAGCTTCTCCCATTCCCAGTCTGCCAGCCCCTTACCAGCAGCCCTCGACCACAGGGACACAAGCTGAGGTGCCCTGCTCTGAACTGTTGGCCAGAGGAAAGAAAGACACAAAAGAAATAGTGGTACCCATGTTTTCAAAAGTCAACTTCATTTACAGATAACTAATGCAAGGAAACCCTGATGTCCCCCAAGGGACGATGCAAGAAAACCACTGCCCCATCCCCACACAACCCCCCTGATGGCGAGTCTGGGCTGCTCTGGGGTCTTTGTGCTGCATTTCTGTATTCTTGCATGCTTGGTTTCTCCCACACTGTGATGATAAATATGCTGCAACCATTTGAATAACCAAGTGTTAATGGAACATTTGCTTCGTCCCATAATGGGGTAGTGTGGCTCTGAGCACAGCAGAACAGTGTCTACTGAGCTTTCAGACACAGGGATTGTAAAACAGTCTCATTGTGACCTGTAAATCCTCACCCAGACAGAGCCTTTGCAAAATGATGGCACAAGTATGAAAAACATGCCACTTGCTCAAGGCAGACCACAAGCTCAGCAGCAGATCTGCCTGCAGCCTCAGCAAATAATGAGTCTGTGGCCAAAGGCAAATAAAGGACTATTGATTTTATCACTAAGATAAGACTTGTGGCACTTCAGAGGGGGAATACAGCAGAAGCAGGACACTTCTCCAGAAGGAGGTACCCCAAAGTCAGAAAGCAGACTCCAATATGCCTCACTTGGTAGGTTCACAATCCAAAATCACAGTGCCAAAACAATAAACCTTTGTCACATACATGACACCAAACCACGAGTCTGAGCAGGAGAGAAGACAATTTGCTGTAAGTGAGATGAGAAGCATGACCACAGGAGGTAAGAGATGTGGGTGTACAAACAGATCTGTTGGCAGAGCAAGGTGGTGG